TCCCTTCCTCCCTCCCTTCCTCCCTCTCCTTCTGCCCCTCTCTACTGCTCATGCTCTCTCTTTCTAAAATAAAAGTAATGCTAATAAAAAAAATAGTTTTGATGAAATCTAATTTGGCATTTTTCTCTTTTATAACTATTGCATTCTGTGATCTCTAAGAAATCTTCACTCCTCCCAAGGCATAAAGATATTCTTTTACATTTTCTTCTGGAAGTTTTATAATTTAGTATTTACATTTAGTTCTATGATCCATCTTGAATTAATAAGTGTATGAGGTGGGGATTGAGATTTATTTTTTTTGTTATGGATATTCAGTTGTTTTAGCACCATTTGTTGCAAAGATTTCCTTTTCCCCATTAGATTCTTCGGCATTTTTATCAAAAACCAAATACCATGTAGCGTGTATCTGTTTTTTTTTTTTTCTTTTTAGAAGGTTTTTTCTTTTCTTTCTTTCTTTCTTTCTTTCTTTCTTTCTTTTCTTTCTTTTCTTTCTTTTCTTTCTTTTCTTTCTTTTCTTTCTTTTCTTTCTTTCTTTCATTCATTCATCAGTGAGGGAGAGCCAGAAAGAGAGGGAGACAGAGGATCTGAAGTACACTCTACACTGACAGCAGAGAGTCTGATGTGGCACTTGAACCCATAAACCGTGAGATCATGACCTGTGCTGAAGTTGGGTGTTCTAACCAACTGAGCCACCCAGACACCCAAGATTTTATTTTTTTAAAGATTTTATTTTTAAGTAATCTCCACACCCAACATGGGGTTCACACTTACAACCCTGAGATTGAGTTGCATGCTTTACTGATTGAGCCAGCCAGGTGCCCCCATTTGTGGATTTTTTATTCTCTTTCATTGATCTGTTTGTCCCTATGTCAGTATCACACTGACGTGGTTACTGTTAGCTTTGTGCTAAGTTTTGAAGTCATGTAAGTTAAGTCTTCAACTTCGTTGTTGGTTTTTTTTCCCCTAAGATTGTTTTGGATAGTCTAGTTTCTTTGCATTTTCCTTTCCTTTCCTTTCCTTTCCTTTCCTTTCCTTTCCTTTCCTTTCCTTTCCTTTCCTTTCTTTCTCTCTCTCTCTCTTTCTTTCTTTCTTTTTCTTTCCTTCCTTCCTTCCTTCCTTCCTTCCTTCCTTCCTTCCTTCCTTCTCTCTTTCTTTCAAGAATTTTAAAAATTTTAATACAGTTCAAATTAGTTTGCTGGGTTCATCTCAGCTCCTTTACTGCCAAATCTGAGGGCAGGGACTGCTTCAGTTTCCCTGCCTTCTCTCTGTCTGTGATGACCAAAGTGTAAAGGTATCTGCTGCATCAGACTTTAAACTTCACATTATCCTTATTGTTCTTGACCTTGATGGACTTGGCATCCTTTACCTGGCTGTGAGCAGAAAATCCTTGATTTCTTCAATTTTGTAAGACATGGCTACGAAGGGTGCAGGCAAGCATGCAGCCAGCATGGCAAGTGGCAATTTTATTTTCATATAAATTTCAGAATCAGGTTGTCAATTTCTAGAGGAAAGCTTAATGGAATTATGAATATAATTGTACTGAATCTGAAGATCACTTTGGGGGAGCATTGACATCTTAACAGTATTGGATCTTCTGATACATGAATGTGGTATATCTTCCATTCTCTTAGGTCTTTAATTTTTCTCAGAAGTGTTTTGTAGTGTTTAATATGGGGTTGTTATATGTTATTTTGTTCATCTA